AAAGAAAAGGAGAAAAGGAAAGATGCCCATTTGAATGCAGAGTTCCAAAGAAGAGCAAGGAGAGATAAGAAAGCCTTCCTCAGTGATCAGTGCAAAGAAATAGAGGAAAACAATAGAATGGGCAAGACTAGAGATCTCTTCAAGAAAATCAGACATACCAAGGGAAGATTTCATGCAAATATGGGCACACTAAAGGACAGAAGCAGTATGCACCTAACAGAAGCAGAAGATATTAAGAAGAGGTGGCAAGAATACACAGAATAACTGTACAAAAAAGATCTTCATGATCCAGATAATCACGATGGTATGATCATTCACCTACAGCCAGACATCCTGGAATGTGAAGTAAAGTGGGCCTTAGGAAGCATCACCATGAACAAAGCTAATGGAAGTGATGGAATTCCACTTGAGCTATTTCAAATCCTAAAAGATGATGCTGAGAAAGTGCTGCACTCAATATGCCAGCAAATTTGGAAAACTCAACAGTGGCCACAGGACTGGAAAAGATCAGTTTTCATTCCAATCCCAAAGAAAGGCAATGCCAAACAATGCCCAAACTACTGCACAGTTGAACTCATCTCACATGCTAGCAAAATAATGTTCAAAATTCTTCAAGCCAGGCTTCAACAGTATGTGAACCATGAACTTCCAGATGTTCAAGCTGGATTTAGAAAAGGCAAAGGAACCAGAGATCAAATTGCCCACATCCATTGGATCATCAAAAAAGCAAGAGAGTTCTAGAAAAACATCTATTTCTGCTTTATTGACTATACCAAAGCCTTTGACTGTGTGGATCACCACAAACTGTGGAAAATTCTTCAAGAGATGGGAATACCAGACCACCTTACCTGCCTCCTGAGAAACCTGTGTGCAGGTCAACAAGCAATAGTTAGAACCAGACATGGAACAACAGACTGGTTCCAAATTGGGAAAGGAGTACATCAAGGCTGTATACTGTCACCCTGCTTATTTAACTTACATGCAGAGTACATCATGTGAAATGCTGGGCTGGATGAAGCACAAGCGGGAATCAAGATTGCCGGGAGAAATACCAATAACCTCAGATACACAGATGACTTCATTGGGAGGACTGATGCTGAAGCTGAAACTCCAATACTTTGGCCACCTGATGCGAAGAACTGACTCATATGAAAAGACCCTGATCCTGGGAAATATTGAGGGTGAGAGGAGAAGGGGATGACAGAGGATGAGATGGTTGGATGGTATCACTGACTCAATGAACATGAGTTTGAGTAGGCTTTGGGAGTTGGTGATGGACAGGGAAGCCTGGTGTACTGAAGTCCATGGGATCAGAAAGAGTCAGACAGGACTGAGCGACTGAACTAAACTGACTGGTACTTTTCCTCCCACTCACACTACTGTTTTAGTCCAGATCACCATCATTTCCTGTTTAAATCATACTGCAACAGACACTTACTATCCTTTTCTCCTGATTCGTTCCCATCCCCACCATGATAAGCTTCCTTCAGCAGTCTGAGTTACCATTAAAACAAAACAAAATAATGTATCACATCTTTGCTTAGAACCCCCAACTACTTTAAATACAATCTTCTATATCATAGCCTTCAAAACCACATATGATCTGGCCTTTGCCTGTTTTCCCAGGTTTTTTTGGTTTTTTTTTTTAAGATGTATTTATTTGTTTTTGCTGTGCTGGATGTTTGTTGCTCATTGTGGGCTTTCGCTAGTTACGAAGATCAGGGGCTACTCTCTATTTGTGGTGTGCAGGCTTCTCACTGCAGTGGTTTCTTGGTGCGGAGCATGGGATCTAGGCCCATGGGCTCAGCTGTTCCTTGGCATGTGGGATCTTCCTGACCCAGGGATTAAATCCTTGTTGCCTGCATTGTCAGGCATTCTTTACCACTGAGCCACCAGGGAAGGATCCCCAGCCCCCAATTTTTTGAATCACTATATTCCTTGCCCTGTGTTCCATCAACTCAGGCCTTATTGTATTTTTCAGTGTGTTAGGATAAAAGCTCCATAAAGGCAGGGATTTTTATGGGTTGTTTTTCCTTTTGTTCATAATGTTGACAAATCTCAAAGCACCTAGGACAGTGCCTGACGTATCAGAAGCATCTGGTGAATATTCATTCAGTGGAAGAATGAGTATGTGCAAACTTTTCTTTCCCTATCATGCCCTTAAATTTGCTGCTCTCAGACTGGAATGTTCTCCAGGACCTTAGCATGGCAGGCTTTTTTTGTTTGTTATCAATCAAGTCTCAGCTCAAATGTTACCATCTTAGAAAGGATATCTTTGACACCTCTATTTAAATTGCCAGCGTTTTTCTCTCCTTTGCATTTTTCTGCTTTTATTTTCTTCAAAGCACTTATCATTACCTGAAATTATCTCATTTATCAATTTTCTTCTGTTGCCTCTACCAGAATGTAAGCTCCATGAGAGCAGGGGCTCCATTTTGTTTTTGGTTCCCCATTCCATCTTCATTATTTACAGTGGTGATTGGTACACAGTACATATGGACATGACTTACTGACTAAACAACAACAACATATTCAATACCGAAAGGAGAGAATTCTACTGTATGCAAATTTAATTTAAACATTTATATAAAAGGCAGATTCCTGAGGCTCGTTCCAAACCTTCTGAATAAAAAATTGCTGGGGTTGTGTCTACTCAGCGATTTTTTGTGCAATCTAAGTTTTAGACAATTTCTCCAAGTCCATGAGGCTAAGTTGGGCTCTCTAGTCCAGACAGCCCCATTTCTCATGGCAAGCTCCCTTTTTGGGTTCTTTGGCAACATTTAGGGTCACCAGGCCTCAGCTGTGCTGCTCCCAATCCATCAGAGAGCATGCAATCATATTAAATCTGAGAACAGGCTAAGTTCTCTCCAGGGACAGTGGATCTGTCCCCTTCTGGCATTGTCTACTCATCACACCAGACCTAAAAGTGGGTCTCTTAACCAACATAATCTTTCCTAAGGCACCTACTATATAGCCCAGGGAACTCTGCTCAATGTTATGTGGTAGCCTAGACGGGAGGGGAGAAGTTTGGGGGAGAATGGTAACATGGTATATGAGTCCCTTTGCTGAAACTGTCATAACATTGTTAATCGGCTCTACCCCAATATAAAATAAAAAGTTGTGGGACTTTTCCTAGTGGTCCAGAGGTTAAGAATCTGCCTGCCAATGCAGTGGACAAGGGTTCAATCCCTGGTCCAGGAAGATATCCACATGCCTCGAGGCAACAAGAGAAGCCACCACAGTGAGAAACCCGTACACTGCAAATAGAGAGTAGCCCCCGCTCTCTGCAGCTAGAGAAAATTTGTGCACAGCATCAAAGACCCCGCACAAAAATAAGATTTTAAAATGTCAATAAAATAAAAAGTTAAAAAAAATTTCCTAAGGCCACTGACTTCTGCATGTCTATACCCAGTGATGAGTCAACAGCACCTCTCACTATAAATGTTAAGGTCTGCCTCATCCAGCCCCAAATATGCTTTCTTTTCAGTTAAATTCAACAAATGTTTAACGACAGCGTGCACAGGAGTCTATGGAGGAACAAGCCATTGGCTAGTCATCAAGTTGCTTACAAGGTAGTCAACTGTCTCGAAATTCTAAAGACATGTTTTCCCAAGATTTCCCAAACTTTGTTTCCAGTTTTTAAAACACATAACAGTAAAGAGGATATCGTTGAATGAATTTTACCTTCCTCCTCACCTCCCGTCAGTGTTTTCTACTCTCGAATCTTTTACTTAGTTGTACTTTTTTCTTGGTTAGCTAATAAGTTTAGCAATTTTGCCTCTTTCATTGTCGTTAATACTTTTATCCGTTTAAAGTCTAGTGTGCTGTTTTACATGTAAATTCCCCTTAATCTTCAAAACAACGTAGCAAGGTAGATGTCACGGACAGGGTAACTGCATCCTGAAGGTCCAAAGGTTCAAGATCTGTTCAAGCGTTAGTTGTCATTCATATTTGGGGCGGGGGGATTAGGGCTGCTGTCTTGCTGTTAAACCTGAGCTCAATTTTCTGGGATGGTACGATGTGGAAACCTGAGGTTAAAAGAGTGACTGAAGCCCTGGGTTAACCAGGGTTGAATAAGATCATGTTTGTGAAAATCACTTCCTCTGAGCACGGTAAAAGGGAGAGGAGAGAGCCGGCGTGGCGCTCTAGGGTTCTGCCGGGCTGAGCCCAGACTCCGTGGCCCGGCTCCAAGGCGCAGGGGCGCGAGTCCCGGCCGCGCTGCGCTCGGCTGCGCGCGTGGCGTGGGCTCGGCGGGGCCTCCGCAGGTCGGCCCGTCGGGTGCCCAGGCGCGGCTCCCGGGACGCGGGTCCTCGGGGGCCTGCGGGGAAAGCTGGACACCCGACGAGCGGCCCCTCCTCCGGACCTGGGGTACAAGTCTCCCCACCTAGGCAGCCGGGGGTCCCTGCAAGCCGTCCCGGCCCAGAATCCGGAGAGTCGGCTTCTCTGATTGGCTTAGAGCACAAACGCAGGCGAGCGCTGCCTGAGTCGCGCTCTTTGATTGGATTTGAAACGAACAGCAGAACACGAAATAAAGAGGCCTTCCGTCATTGGGCCATCGTGTGAATCTCCTTTTGGCTTCTCCGCCGACTGAATTAGCGTCTCAGGATCTCGGTCATGAGTCTTAAATCTGGGCCTGTCAATTCGCCCCGGCGTTACTCGTCTCTAGGCGAGGCACGGAGTTTACAGAGTTCAACCAATCACATAAGGCCGAGATCAGGTTGCCAGGCAGGTTATGCTAATGAGGCCCCGCCTTTTATGCTGCTCCCACTCTGCGGCGGGAAGAACCACCTGGAGGTGGCGGGGGGGTTTGATTTCCATCACCCCTAGGGAGAGAGGACCGGGGACCCGCTGATCTCCCAGCTCCCCTCACCCAACGTCGTGTAAGTACCTAAAGGATTAGGGGAACCGGATAAGCCAGCGTCCAGAGTACCCCATCGACTGGGAGGGTGTTTCGTCTTTGCTTAGTCCCACCCAAAATGGCGCCAAGCTCTTTCCGCGTCTCAGAGCCCGGTCGGGGCCAACCGACCGCGGACCCGGGTGGGGGGGGACTTGATGGTGGTGGTGGGGGGGAGAAATCCCGGCGGCACCGCCCGATGGTACAGTCCAGCCGGGGCTGGGACGAGGCACCTCACTCGGGGTGGGGGGTCAAACCATCTGCACCTTCCAAGGGGAAAGGGGCGAGATCCGCTCTCGGAGCCCTCCTGGCGCTGCGATCGGCCATGGCTCCGGCGCCTCTTTGCCCTGCCTTCCCCGCGCGCGGCCTCCCCCCTGCGACCCCCGAGCGGCTCGCACGCTCTGCCGGCCGCGCGCACCTCTCCTCCCCTGCCCGCGTTGGTTGGGCCGGGACGGCAGTTGGGCGCCCTGCGCGCTCCTGCGGCGGCGGTTGGCCGGGCGCTCGGGGTGCGGCGGGCCGTCTCGGCCGGCGGGCGCGGGGGCGGCGGGCTCCGTGGACTGGGCACGCAGCTTTGTCTCGGGAGGCCGCGCCGCCGTCCTGCCGTGGATTCCTGGTGTCCCCGGGACCCGGCGAGGCCCTGCTCGGACGGCGTGGGGGTGGCCGGCGTGGGTCGGTCGTGGTGGACGGTGTCCGCAGTGGGCAGGGTGCGGGCCGAGGTCCACGTGCGCTCGGGGTCTAGCCCAAGGCCTCTGGGGAGCCGGTTGGTGATGCCAGCCGACCGTCTGCTTTCCTTAAGCGCTTTTGAGTCTGCGGCCCCGTGTCAGGCCCTCCACCGAATAGAGCGAACGCAGCGCTCTGGAATCGCGGGCGTGCGTGCCTGCCTAGCCTTGCCTGGCGGGTTGGTGGGTTTCGTTCCATTTTCAGTCAGAGTCTGCCTAGTCTAAGCATGAGCCGGTTCTGGGTCTGAACCCGAGGGTTCGGCGCCTGAGCCGTCCCACCCACTCCGGCCCTGTGCCGTCTGCGCCTGTTCAAATCTGGCCTGGCTCATCGGTCTTGAAACTCAAAAGCAACCTTCCTTAAAAACAGAACTGCTTGTGACGGTTTGCGGCCTCTGTGTCAGACCCGTTCCTTTGTTTCTTTTTCTACCTTTTGCTGGAAGCTCTTTGAGGGCAGGAAGATACGCGGCGTGCCCAGGGTACCCTCCCACACACTCCTCCCACGGCACTGCAGCAGCTTCCACGTTGAGAAGCCGTGCTTACATGATGCTCTAGAAATGAAAAAGCAAAATTGAGAAGAAAGATGGATTGAGGCAAAGCCATCCTTAAAGCAGCGCTGATTCAGTCTGTTTACAAAGTAACTTCTGTGTTTTTAAATGAAGTGAAATTGACATAAAGTGAACAGTTTCGTACTAGATGCACAATTAAAAATTTTGAACCAAGACTTTTTTTTTTCACTTTGTAACTCTTATTTATTCCTTGCACCCACTCTTGGCTCTTCTTTGTTTTGCAAGGGCGTAAATTGTGTCTACTTTTCTGAATAAGCCATTTTTTTTCGAATGTTTGCAGTATGCCCCACCTCGGGATGTGTCCATCGAGTATGTATGGTAGATAAGGCTGTAGATAAGGCGAAGCTCAGGTCTTCAAGGGCCCTCAATACTTTTTAAGATACTACGGTGGTATAAGGGATAGTGTATCAATCCAGTGTAATCCTAAATTGGTTGGCACTGGCTCAATCTCCACGTGTCTGAATTTTTTTTCCCTAGTTTTAACAGTAAGGCATGATCATTGTAGAAAATAGAGAAATAGTATATAAAAAGTAAAAATTAATCCGAAGTTAAATTACCAGAGATAGTTTCTGCTAGTATTTTGGTTACTTCAAATCTTTTGTACGTGCATAGAAAATGTTTTTACAAACTTGTTATGATATGTGGTTTTCATATCTAGTTTTTTTGGGGGTGTTGTTTACTTGTTATTTTTCTATTTTAAAAATGTGACTTCACTGATGATTTGCTATTTTCAGTAGTTTTTCCCCATTATTTGAAGGGGCCATCATGAAATCCTCTGAACTAAAGGAATTAGAAATTTGGATCGTTCTGTTTTTCACAAGTAGAATTTATTGATTGCTGTTTAAATTTATCATAGGTAGCCTAATGAAGTAGATTTCTGAGCAATAAGTAGAATTGTTTGAAGAGCTGAGAAATACTGAACTGTAATTTTGGTTTCCTTAGTAGGCTTACATATTAAACTGGTGAACACATGGTAACTGCATAATTTCGTTTGGTACAAATGATAAACACCCTGTCATCCCAATGTTGGATTTGTTTAGCCAGAGTTTGTTCTAAAATAGAATACTGATGTTCACTGACCTATGCCCAGTAAAATACAGTCTTTCCCCACCCACTTAAGTGCCGGAGAGTGTAGACACACCCTGTCCAGCCATTTGTATGACTTTCACAAGCAGAATTTATTGGCTACTGTTTAAATTTGTCATAGGTGCTCTAATAGATTAGCAGTATTAGTCTGGTGACTAGAAAGAGCCGTGAGTTAAGGAAATGCTATGGCCACCTCTATGTAGAATGTTTCCACTGGAGTTCTCCTGGGGATCCGGTAGGGGCAGGAAGGTGAGAGGGGAGCTTTTCTGACTTTATTATGTTGGTCATTCTCGAACTCTTCCTCTCCCTCTGTGGCCTTGTGCTGTTTACATGAATTACTGCTTAAGGGGTGTCTGGCCTGGGTCGTATTTATTCTCTATAAACTCTAAGCCTAGTTCAGGACTTAACGTGGGACATTCTGAGCCTTTCCAGTTTTATCTGCAAAGCAGTTTATTTGCCCTTTCTGTGATACTTGATACATTACTGTTAGTACTGAAGCATTCTTCCCACTCCCTTTCCAAAGTCCTTTGGTGGTTTCAGGCTTCCGCTTGCCCAGACCTTTATAGATTTTAAATGTTCGGGTTGTGGACAGCAACTGCCAGTAGGTTCGTTTTGGATAACTTTGAAATATTCTAAAGAATTGGGGTTGAAGAAACGGAGAGGGAGGAGAGAGACTATAGATCCTCCCAAGTTACAGTCATAGCAAGACCAGTTAAAAATGTGGTGAAAACACTCATTATAAAATTATAAAACACTCATTATTGCACATTATAAAATAATAATGTGCAGGGCTTTAATAACTCCAAACATAGAGATTGCTGGAAGGTGAACCTGCAGACAGCCTCATTTATCTCAGCGTTGGAACACTGGAGCCGAATCCCCACTTTTCTACCCACGTGCTGCACTCTGACTCTGATTGCAGCCACAGTCTCTTCCTAACTGTCCCTCATACCTGCGCTGTCTGGTCCAGTGGCTAGTGCCGTGTGTGTGACTTACACGCCAGATTTTGCGATTTAGTGTAAAAACAATGAAATATTTCAATTTCTAAAATACTGATTACGTGTTGAAATGATAATATGTTGCCAATCCATGTTAATAAATATATTGTTGCAATTAATTTAGCCTGTTTGTACTTTAAACAAATGTGGCCACTGTAAGATTTGAAATTATGTTTATGGCTTGCATGTGTGCCTTTGCCTGATAACAACAGCCACCTTAGTCCCGTGGGGCGGGCGGTGTGCTCCCAGGTGGCAGTAAATCATCAATACAATGTATTATCTCTTTGTTTCTATAGTTTCAGCCAAAAGATACTGCTTATGGTAGATGTATCTGATTTCTTTTAGTGCTTTATGATAGCTCTCACAGAAGCACTATTATTCTTCTGAAGAATACCTTAATCTTAAAACCACTTCCAGGTAATTGAGTTAACTGTTACTGAATTAATATATTCAATTAATCATTGAACTTAAAATAATGAAATGACATCTGTTAAGCACATAATCCATTAAAGAAAACGTTGAGCTAAGCATAATCAGCTGAATTTTCCCCAGCTTGGTCTGCTACTTACTCATTGATTTTTATAATGGACTGTTTTTCAAAGATTTAAGAAATATTTCTGAGAGAAACTTGAAATTGAGAAAATCAAGCTCACGATTTATTGTTTTCTCCTGTGATTAAAGAAAAGGCCACAATTGTTTGCTTTTAAGTGTGGAACACTTTGGACCAGCTCATGGGACAACTATCCTTTTAAACACAGTTAAAAGAATGGTATTCTTTTGGGACTTCCCTGGCGGTGCAGTGGTTAAAACTCTGCTCTTCCACTGCAAGAGGCATGGGTTCCATCCTTTGGTCAGGGAGGTAGGATCCTGCAGGCCAAGTGGCCTGGCCAAGAAAAAAAAAAGTAGATGAGACACTATACTTAAAAAAAAAGTCATATTATTTTTATTTGATTTTACTACCCTGTGTGATGGTTTGATGCAGTGTCCAATTTAACAGCATGGGCCCCGTGGGGCAAAAAAGAACCTATATTCAGAGCTCAGCTCAACTGACTGGCTGTGATCTTCAGCCCATTAGTTAACTTCTGTAAGCCTTAGTTTCTTTATCAAATTATTAAACTAGTTTCTTAATTATTAATGGGGTGCAGTAGTACCAGGCTTGCCAGGTGGCACAGTGGTACAGAATCTGCCTGCCAATGCAGAGATGCAGGAGACTCGAGACGATCCCCTGGAGAAAAAATGGCAGTGCACTCCAGTATTCTTGCCTAGGAAATCCTGTGAACAGAGGAGCCTGGTGGGCTACAGTTCATGGCGTCACAGAGAGTCAGACACGACTGAGCACACACAATATCATGGAGTAACTATTTGTGCTCATTTCTTGCTTCCTAAATGTGTTGTAAATTCCTAGAAGCTTGTAGCATTTTTTTAGTCCCCTCCTGTAGAATGCAGCTCGAAAGTGCCTTTTAGTTGTGCTGTGCTGTGTTTAGTCTGTGTCCTGTGGGAATAAAGGAGTGAGTGCAATTAACATAAGACATTAAAGTGAGAAGGAGAATTTTCCTCCCTCTCCTTCACAATTCTTACTTTTGTATGCACGTCTCACCATCTTGTTGGCATTGCTTGAAGGTTTTGCTTGGGGGTTATTTTCTTGGGGGTTATTTTCAGTCTCACCGCAAACCATCATTATAGGCAAACTTGTTATAATGTTTTTCTGATAGAGGAATAGCTGTAATCCTTTGTCTAATTATTGCTTTGTGTTTGACTTTTCACATTTAATTCTTACTGTGTGGTAGTGGCAACAGGGGTTTACAAGTGAAAAAAAGGACACATAAGTTTAGCATAAGAGTGGCGGGAGCAAGGACTGGGTCCTCAGTCCCAGGCAGTGGTGTGTATTTTTATAAGATTCAGCCTCTTACTCATTATTTATTTATCTTCTCTTTTATCCTGTTTCTCTTAAAGTGATGAATTGAAAGTTTTCTGGATTTCAAGTGCTTCATAACTTGATAAACAAGCACCAGCAGCCAATAGCCATTTAGGACACTTGTTGATGTAACACATAAGTTTTCTCAAGTATGTTTAAGCCACTGAAGTAAGGTGTGAAATAACTACAAAGCAATAGTTCTAGAATTAAAACTAAATTATGGAGCAGTAATTGTACTTTGATTAGCTTTGTTTCATTTAAAAATTTTAAGAAAGTTGAAAAGAAAAAAAAACAAAAAGAAAAGGAAAACAAAAACAAAATGAAATTTAAAAAAAAGATAAAACAATTTAACCAAGTTGATCCTTATATATATACACAGTTTTCCGAAACCTTAGGAATCTCATTGAACAATTGTATCTTTTTATACGTCATTTAAAAAATCATCTCTTTTTCAGATTTGTGGTTTTTCAACAGTTATAAACTATAGGAGGTATATTTTAATTATAACAAAATCTTTATAAGACCGCTACATAAAAAAATCCAAAACTTTACTGAGTGACTCCAAGTAAACTCTAAATAAATGGAGAGACTGCTTTGAGGACTGAAAGATTTAATATTGTAAAGAATCAATTTTTTGGAAACTGACATGGATTTAATGTAATCCTAGCAAACTGAAAAGCAAAAACTAAACAAGCTAATAAATTTTTTACCAAGGCCTGAGATAAAGCAAGACACTCTCGAAAAATAAAACAAAGTTGGAAAAACTTATGTTCCAGAGATGAAGAAGAGTTAAATAAAGACAGTGTGATCCTGGCACCAGGGTAGAGCAATAAACCAACTGAACACCCCAAGGAGTCCAGAAACAGTCTCTCATACAGTCAAACATTTGATTTATGACCCAGGAGGCATGGCAGATAAAAGGCCAAACAACACAACTTTAAAAAGTTGACATTGAGAACTAAATTCATGACCTCAGTCTAAAGAGGGGATCTTTATTTAAGATGTTACCTGCACTAACAGAATAAGGGTAAAAGTCTTGAGCAGGCATTTCTGAAAAGAAGAAATCCAGGTGTCTAATAAACATATGAGAAGGTGCTCAACCTTGTTAATAATCAAGGAAATGCAAATTACAACCAGAGTGCTATGTTACTGTGAACCTAAAGTTGGCAAACACATACCTAACTTGAAGTTGGCAATACCAAGTCCTGAAGTTGTTGGGCAATAGAACAGTCATGCCTGGCTGGTAGAAATAGAAACTGGTATGACCATTTAGGAAAACCTTTTGGCATTGCCTGGAAAGTCAAAGACATGCAGACGCCAAAGCCCAGCTATTACACTATTAGAGAAATTCATATGCATCAGAGAACCGGGAAGAATATTTGGGGTAATTAATTTCCCTGATATGAGTTGACTGAATTCATATTTGAGGGCTGCTGTGTTCTGTAAACAGGTAGCTGTATTTTGGCACAATGGTAAATAAATATTTTTTCCTTCTCTGATGGATCTTTTAATAATATCCAGTCTGGTCTTCATTTCCTAAAACAGTTGTGTCTGACTCTTTGCAACCCCATGGACTGTAGCCCACCAGGCTCCTCTGTCCATGGAATTCTCCAGGCAAGAATACTAGATTGGGTAGCCATTCCCTTCTCCAGGAGCTCTTCCTGACCCAGGGATTGAACCTGGGTCTTTTGCATTGCTGGCAGGTTCTTTACCATCTGAGCCACTAGGGAACCAATAATAGCCAGACTGGTCTTCATTTCCTAAAACCATGCTGGCACAGAATAGGCCTTTAGTAAATATTTTTATGTTTAAAAATTATTATTTGAATTTTTATAGTGAGTACCCTTCACTATAGCTTTGTAGTTGCTTATCCCTGGCTGTTGATTAATTTGCTCAATTAAATCTGTCTGTGGGTTCCAGTTGTCAAGATCAAGATAAAGAACTCGCCTCACATCCAGTATTTTCCCACCACTCTGTACTGAGAAAACACTTTGAGAAATGTTCTGACTTGTACAAGATATCACTGAATACCAGGCCAGTGGTGAATGCTGGCTTCCTATGAAGTGAAGTGAAGTGAAAGTCGCTCAGTCGTGTCCGACTCTGCGACCCCATGGACTATACACCCATGGAATTCTCCAGGCCAGAATACTGGAGTGGGTAGCCTTTCCCTTCTCCAGGGGACCTTCCCAACCCAGGGATCAAACCCAGGTCTCTTGCATTGCAGACAGATTCTTTACTGTCTGATCCACCGGGCAGCCCAAGAATACTGGAGTGGGGAACCTGTCCCTTCCACCTCAGTTCTTCCTGACCCAGGGATCAAACCAGGGTCTCCTGTATTGCAGGTGGATTCTTTGCCAACTGAATCAGGGAAGTCCCACTGGCTTCCTGTAGTAGTTTTATGAAGTTGGAGGAGGTTGAAATTAGAGCAGCATATTAATCATATGCCATTAATACAGAGTTTTCATGAAGGCAATAGCTGCCTCATTGTGTCATCTGTCTGGGGCATACTATTTTGTTAATCAAATGCTTGTTTTTGACCATTCTGTGTTTCATATTTAACTTTGTGAACAAGGGACCAAGGCTGAGGAGTGAGAATTTGAACATGAACAGTAGGTGAGACCCATATTACCTGTTCACAGGGAATGACTTGGAGCCAGTGTCATCTGGCTTCTTAGTCCTGGGACAGGGCCATGGTCCAGTCTGCTGGAACAAAAGGCTGGGCTTATTTCAGGAGTAGAGTGTTTTATGCAGAGTGAATGGGTAGTCACACTGTCTTCTCTTGAGTTATACACATGATGTTAAATTAGGAAACCTGTGCTCTAGAATAATTTCCTCTTTGCAATTTAAATACTTTTTTTCCCCTAGTTAAAACATTTTGAAGCACTTGAATTTTTTGAGGGAACAGCTTAGTACTTGAGATTATGCCTCTTAACATGACCTAGTATTTTACGCTAACCTGGATTTGTGATCATCGAGTCACAGTTACCACCTGGAGCCCTCTGTTAAGTGCGGGTTCCAGGGCCCCAGAAGACCCACCTGTGAGTCTCCTATTTAGTTGCTGCGATTGTTGTTTCAGTGAGGAGCTTGCGATATGTGGGCCAGAGAGCTTTCTGGCTATAGGTGTGCCTGGGCCACAGGGTGTACTTGTACTCTTGCCAGTTCTCTCGAGAACAGATGCTTCTGTTGAGAAAGGGGGCTGGAGGGATTGTGCTCAGAGCTATGTTATCCACAGTCGGAAAACGTGGATGCTGCATATTTGATGAGTTATTCGTATCAATCGTTCAGTCTTCAGATGTTCCTCATAGACCCATATTTGCATACAAAGCTTGTTTCAAATATTCCTGGTAAGTGCATGGAACGGATTTGCTTGTTATCACGTGGCTAAGGAAAGCTGGAAAATCAAGTGTGCATGAGAGTAATCTGATTGGTAAGGAAGACCACCTGAAGTAACCACCACCAGCCTTTTCAGAATTCTAAGGCATTCATACCACAAACGTATTAGAGAAGCTGGTAAGATGCATATTTTGAAGAAGGGTATAAAGATTCTTGCTAAGATTTTGTTTAGTAATAAAAGATGTCTCTTTTTAAAAGGTGACTTTGGGCACTAAAGTTCTGTTTTTCTTTCTTTTTGGCCACAGTGCACAGCTTTCTGCATCTTAGTTCCCTGACCAAGGAGACTTAACCAACTGCCCTTGGCGGTGAAAGTTCAGAGTCCTGCCACTAGACTGCCAGGAAATTCCCATGAATAATAATTATTATTTTGGGGGAAATTGATGCAATTATTTAATTTTTATTTAATTTTTAGAGATTTTTTTTTTAGATTTTTAAAGATTTTTTAAAAATTTAAAATTTTGAATTATTTAACACATTTAGTAGATATAATTCATACGCCATAACATATACCCATTATAGTTAACTTTTTAGCTTATATACAAAGGTTTGCAGCCTTCAACACAATTTAAATTGAAAACATTTTCAGCGCTGCAGAAAGAAGCCCTGTATCCATCAGCAGTCACTCCTGTTCACTTGACAATCCCATCTCCAGGGGATATTTCTATCTCTATAGATCTGCCTATTCTGGACATTTCATATTACTAGAACTTACAAGTAATCTTCAGTGGGCATCAGCCATCAATAGTTACTAATATCATGAAGTTGGAGTACAAGTTAAGTGCTCTGATCATTACCTGTGCTTATTGCTCAGTGGTGTCCAATTCTTTGCAACCCCACGGACTGTAGCCCGCCAGGCTCTTCTGTCCATGAGATTCTCCAGGCAAGAATACTGGAGTGGGTTGCCATTCCCTTCTCCAGGGGTCTTCCCGACCCAGGGATCAAACTCAGGTCTCCTTCATTGCAGGTGAATTCTTTACTATCTTAGCCACCAGGAAAGCCCAGTCTTTGCCCAGTGCTTCCTAAAGGCAGTTCCTGGCATCAGTATAATCAGTCCTTCATATTGCTTTTAGAATGATTCTCCAAAAAAGTGTTATTACCGTGATAAAATATGTTTCTTGCCTTTGTGCAAGAGTTGGCCACGACCAGCTGACTTCAGCATCTTCTGGAGAGGTTCATAAACAAAGACTCCTACTCTTCCCCTCTACCTTTGCAGTGGAGAGAATCTAGAATTTCAAGAGTGAGACTCTGGAATGTTTCTTTTTGCCTAGGCCCTTAGGTGAATCTGATAAAACCAGTTCACGGATTTTGGGAACTGTAATTCTTCACCTTGAAGTCTTAGAGCCCATCCTTAACTGTGTTTGAGGCTT